TGTGGAGATAGGGTAGATTATGGAAACCATTTATCATTACCAGAAACACTAGGAAATATTGCAGAAGACACGACAGACATATAAGACATTTAACTAGGAAAAATAATTGGGGAATAAGTCTTTTCTCCTACTTACCTGAAAATGAGTAATGAGTGAAGAGATGGTCTTTCTGATTTGGAGAATGACTTGCATTCTATAGATCTTATGGGGGAAAAGCAGGGTGACACATATTGACATATAACTGTGGTAAATGTAAAGAGGATGTTAACAAACCCTGAGGGAAGAATGTCACTGATCTATAGATGTTGATTCAATCTGGCGCCCAGCAGGTCTGGCTTTGGGTACAGTCTGGTGGTATATATGGGAGGTGGAAAGTTGACTGAAGGCAGCACTCAGGTGAAGCAGCTTTCCGGAGTTGAAGTTCATTCTGTGGTGGATCATCTCAAAGATGCAGCTTGCTTTGACTTTACCAAGCTCTGGTAAGTAGCCATTCACTGGGCACTTCTTAGAGTCTAAGTAATCCTTAGTGTATATTTCACAAAGACTGTTTTTAGATTAGTTTTGTTGTTGTTGTTGTTGTTGTGGTCTGCTCTGAATTTTGGAGAGAACTGATATTTGATCATGCTTAATATAGAGAGAAGTCAACACAGAGCTGAAAGAACTCTCTATATTCTAGTTGCTTGACTAAGTTTGAGCTCAGATTTTTCTATAGGAATTTCCTTGTGTAATAGACACAGGCAATTTTCAGAGTTATATTGTGTTGTCCTTATTAACAGGACGGTAAAATGGAACATCGTTCCTGATACTTAAGAGCCATTAGATGTATAACATCTTCCATTTTAAAAGTCACAGTATAGAACAAAAGATAATACAGCAGAGCTGGTTGGCTGTGGTGCATGCTTTTAAACACAGCACTCAAAGGCAGAGCCAGACAGATCTCTACGAGTTCCAGGCTAGCCTTGTCTACAGAGTGAGGTCCAGGATAGGCACCAAAACAACTCTAAGAAACCATGTCTTGAAAAACCAATGATAATAATAATCATAATCATAATCATCATAATCTTAGAACTCAAAGTGTTCAATTTGCACAATGGAGAAATTAGGGTATATGGAAAACACAATATTAAATAAAGATGTAGTCCAATTGCTTCAAGCACAGAAATAGGAAGTTATAATTAATTTGTGTGCCCAGCTTGGATATCTGCTCACATAAATCTATCTGAATAAACTATCAAATCACGCCAGTCTTAAGTGATATGTACAAGGAAAATGAATTAGTTACAATAATAATGTATTTAATAAAATGAAAGACAACATAAATTCTCTAGAATTTCATATATGTGCAGATAATGACTTGAAGACTGTGGTTCCTGGTTAATCAAACTCCATGTGTTTGCAAACTTGAGAAACTCTTTTGGAGCAAATGCAAACTGTGAAAAGTCTCCCACATGTCAAACTTTTACTAGAAAAGTGTAGCTACCTCTGTATTTTACCAGTTGAAAAAGTGAATGCTCTAGTAAGGTATATCAACAAAATTCACATAGCATAGGGCCCTCAGAACACATTCCCAGCTTGTTTAACTGTTGTAACCTGATTTGTATAGATCACCTCATTGCCATTTCTCTGAGAACAGGGGTATGTATGTTGCTGCTGGTGTCAAATCTGCTCCTTTGGGAGCATGTGTCCTCCAAACCAACTGGCTCTGTGTCCACTGAAGACTTGTATGATCGAGTGGTTGATCAGTCTCATACTACATATTTCCTGGCTGCAGATTTATACCATGAATTTGTAAGTAATGTCCTTGCCTCTGGATTCTTTTCTAAAAGTACCTTCACATAGCTAATCACTAATTAAATTGGAATGACTCATGTATCCGATTCCAAATAATTCAATTTATAAGTAATAGAAAGAATCATATAGCAAAATGTATAAAGGGCAAAATATGAAGTTTCATAAAATCTCAAAAAGAATTCAATGATATTTCAAATTTTGCTTTACTAACTTTAACAATACCAACTTTGAACTTCTTAGTTGGAATTTTGATTTCCTGGTATCCAGGAGTTCTGTATTCATGAACATTCCTTACTGACTGATCTAAAGATAACTAGTACAGGGTAACTGAAGTTAGTTGGGTGGAGAGAAAAAATTTAAACAAATTGAAATCATGTAAACAATAAACAATAAAATAACATAGTTACAGATAAGCTCATAAATGCAAACAATCCCGGGTTATCATTTTTAGCAATGAATGTCTTAGTGAAATTGAAGGGCTACATTAGACAAAAACTATATTCCCTCTCCCCCAGGGATTTAACTCATCCATCAGGGCCTGTCAGTGAGGAAACAGCAAAGCAAATGTCCATTGAATTTTGAGCATATGGATTATATATCGCTACATTTATAGGGAATATACATTACCATTGTTGTTTTCCCATACTAGTTTTCTCATACCTCACACTTCCTCTAATCTTCTAGCTGCACATTTCTAAGAACACTTTAACTCTTTTAAATTCGTTGATAGTTAGAATTAACTGCTTTGTATTTTCTTAAGAAATATCTTATGTAAGTACTTCCTTCGTATCATTAGCACAGAAACTTTGAATATTTGTGTGAATTCTTACTTCACTCTGTGCTATTTCCTTAAAATGCAACTAGAATTTAATGGTTAATTATTGATTGCAATAATATTTGTGAATCCTACGTTTATCATGAACATTTTTTATTGTGTTGGCACTTGTTGATATTTGAGAACCAAGTTATAAATGAATAGTTCTTATATTTAAAAAAAGGTGTGTGCCATTGAAAAATAATTATTTCTATGACACTCATTCTAGAAAATCTGATACTTAAAGATGTAAGTAATTAGAAGTTTAGGTGCATCTTAGTGCTTTCTTTCCAAACAATAACATTAGCAAGTACAATACAAGGGAGCAGTAAAGAGGGGAAGAGATTGAGAGGACAGTTGAGTAGATTGCATGCAGACAGGAATGAAGGGTAGGCAGATGGTGTTTCCATCATTCTACTGTTTCAATTTTTGTTCTTAAATATCAAAAATGTGGGGTTTATCAAGCATACAATGTTAGTTTCTACTCAATTCTGAATCCCCAGTTAACTAAACCATTTAATTTTATCCAGGACATGAAATATTTCAGGAGCAGTTGGTACAAGACCAGAATGCCCAGCCTATGCCACACTGCTTCCATCCACACTCCACAGTCTCGTGATGAAGCCCATGAAACAAAAGTAGGTTTCCTCCCTGTTTTTATGAAACAAGTTATGCTATACAAAGGTAACTGTGCTGTGTGTGATTACTAAGCCAACAAGAGATGTGTAAATTTCTGATCCCATAGATCAAAAAAGATGTGGCTGTCAGAGAACAATCACATCATAGAGCTGATAACTAACTTAGCACTAACTAAAATGCCTGCCAAATCATATGGTCCCAGAATTGTAGTTGTCTTCATAGAAAACTGTTTTTACCAACACCTGCTTTTTCCAGGAAAGTTTTGATCTGATCTGGACATTCATTTTTAATATATAAATATACATATAGAGTAAATACAAATCCCTTTGTGTTTGTAATATAACACTAAAGGATCCTCCTCTGGCATCAAGTTAAAAAACTAAGCAGTGTGTCCTTTCTTTTTATTTTTCTAAACTCTCCTGGACCTATTTCTGTTCCATCCTAATTTATACAGACTTCCCTGACTGATCTGCCTTCTCCTACCTACATCTTAACTGTACAAAAGAGTCTTCTCTAAAATATATCATGTTCCTCTGAATGACTTCTGTTTTGAAGACATCTACATAACTCTGAAGATCTAATGTATATGTATTATGATCTCTTCACTCTGGCTACTTGTCATAAACATCAGTTTTATTTATATAAAATTAATACATATAGCAATTTCACAGACATAATCTATTCTCCAGTCATGCTGGTATTACCAATACAAATAACTCATATACAAGATATTCTCATGAATAAAGTGTGGTTATCATAAAGAAAAAAGAAACAGAACAAAATATTTATACAGATTACTTTTCTACACAATGGGAATAGCATACTGATGACACTGAAATATTTAATTTTGAAAAATAGTCTCTGATAACAGTACTTTTAAGAAGACAATGAACTATGGTTCCAAACAGTACACAGAATTCATTTCCCTTGCATATTAAGTAAGAATTTACACTAAACTTCTTTCATGTCATGTAATCATTCTTACTCCTTAGTATCTAACACTACTGGCAATAAGTTGATTATCACCATTGGTGTCTCCATTTATTCATAAATATTTTATTTATATTATAGTTGAGGCCAGGCAGTGGTGGAGCATGCCTTTAATCCCAGCACTCAGGAGGCAGAGTCAGGTGGATCTCTGTGAGTTCGAGGCCAGCCTGGGCTACCAAGTGAGCCCCAGGAAAGTGCAAATCTAAGCACAGAAACCCTGTCTTGAAAAACCAAAAAAAAAAAAAAAAGATTATAGTTGAATTACACTCTGTTCTTTATTTCCATAGACTGTAAGATTCCCTATAAACATCACAGTAAACAGCTAACTAAAGAATTTATTTTGTATGACTCTGGCATTGTGCTAACAATTACAGGCCAAAATTCCATTCTGATTTTTACCAATGCCTGGAATTAAAACAATTCTTAATAATAATTTTTCTTGTGTATATGTCAATAATTATACAACTCCTCTAGAATCAAGGGTAGCAGGAATCATGCAGATAAAAGAAAAAGTAGGACTTTGGAAAGTATTTTGTCTGAAGTCACCTGTTATAATAGTCTACCATAATATAAATATCTTAAGTAAGTATATGAGAGACCAATTTGATT